GAGAATATGAGAATATACTGGAGACTTAACCCAGGACCTTTTGCACTGAACTAAATTCCCAGCCCTTCTTTCATTTTTTTGAGACAGGGTCTCACTACATTATTAAATTATTCAGGATGGGCTTAAATTTGTGATGGTCTTACCTCATGATCCCTGTGCTGAGATTACAGGCATGTACCACACCATGCTGACTCTAGCATCAACTTTATAAACTTCATTCATTATCATAAAAAGATGTATTAATACCTACTAGAGCATTAAAAGTGGTTCATCTTGAAAATATCTCCTCAAACAAATTTTATTTGAAATGCCTTTTATCTTGGCTTTCTCTGGTACTATGGGGCATACATGACTTAGTGCTCATAATCTACTGATTATGGTACTGAATCTATTAATTGCTCATTTTATTCCAATTCCTCCTCAGGTTTACTTTTTAGCTTTGGCATGGTGCAGTGTCCTGTTAGCCAAACCAACTAATAACACATCCTTTTTTATAGCTAGCTCTAAATTTAGTTATAACCTCTCTTTAAGAGGTTAACTACCTACCATACATCCATGAACTTCCTGGACAATTTCCTTTGAAATGACCATAGAGTAAGGTATAAGAACTACTAGAAAGGAGAAGAAGGGAACATAGAAAGAACACGAACATGTATTCATGTACTAATAAAAATGTTGCGAAAAAAGGCTACAGATATAGCTCAATGTGAAGTCCATGGTGTTTAATCTTTAATGTCAAAAAATAAGATCCTAGTTAAGAGTATTAATACTGAATTTAAACTTTCTGACAAGATTTTAAAAGGTATACTGACAAAAATATAGTTTACAATATCCTATCAGTATCTGTTTATTAAGGTAATAAATGAAAAGAAATCTGTTTACACTTAAGCCTTGAGGTGAGAGAGATGGGTTTCGGTTTCTGAGTAAGTGAGTTGGTGTGATCAAGGATAGGAGTCCAGTATGTAAGCCTATAAACTCTAGTGACACACAGAGATGATATCAACCTCAGAGCAGCAGCTACAGTTAAGCTCTTTAGGTTTGCAAATAAAATCAAGGTGGTCAAAGAGACTGCTAGAAATTAACCTGAGAATCAGTCATATAATTTATTAGTCAAAAAGGTAACAAAAATTTAAGGAAGTTCATGGGCTAAAGCCATGGACTTGATAGGTTTTCAATTTATACAGCAGCAGTTATAGCCTACAGATAAAACAGACTGATGTTTAGTATGACAGAGGAAACTAGAGTAAGGCTATTAAGCCCGTAAGTTTAGGTTATTCTTCTCACAGAAACTGAAAGAGGCAGTAAAACACGACTATTTGGAGCTACAGCTTCTTTAGAAGGCGAGATAAAGCAGACACAGGCTTGCAGCTGGGACATGGGTCAAGTATCATGATCCTTAGTTATAAAACCTCTCACATGTTCATGGAACCCTGAGGTACTACTCTAAAATCTAGTACTGCTCTAAAGGTTCCTGGGACTAGAGACAGCCAAACGTACTAAGAAAGGAGAGTTAAAGCACTAATGAGAAAGCAAAGCAATGTTAAGCCTGCCAAACAAACAAATGATGTTAAAAGTTAACGAAAGGGATGTTAGTAGTGATATAATATGATGAAACTGGGAAAGCTTTTAGGAAAATGAACAATGATCTGAACTAGAAATGAGGCCAGGCATGGTGATACACACCTGTAATCCCAGCACCTGGAAGGTTGAGGCAGCACTGATGCCAGTTCAAAGCTAGCCTGGGCTATTTATAGCAAGTTGAAAGCTACCCTAAACTACAGTAAGACCCTGTCTCAAAAAAAAGAAAGAAAGAAAGAAATGAGAAATAAAAACACTAGCCTCAGGTCAGGATACAATAGAGGATATGGAAAAAAAAAAATTCCTGAATTACAGAATATATTAAATAATGTCATCCTTTGGTGTTAATACAAAAATTTTAATTACCACAAAAGATAATATATAACTGGGGCTGGTGAGATGGCTCAGTGGTCTAAAGCACCTACTTAGAACAAGCTTAGCAAAGCACAGAGACCATGGTTCAATTCCCCAGCACCACATGTCAGCCAGCCCCGCCCCCTGGTGGGTTGAGCTGGCTACACACACACACACACACAAATTAAAAAAATTTTTTAAAAAAGATAATATATAATAAAAGTTACCATATCATGGCTTGAATGACAGAAATTATGTAAAGCAAAGATACAGAATGAAAAATCACTGAATATTATTTTCTCTTTCCCTCCTCACAATTATTTGATTCTCTAATGACCAAAGAACTTTTAACAGATCATTATACACAAATAATTCTTTTAAACATAAGATAATCATGAAAGAGTCCATAAATAGGGCCAAGAAAACATCACTAGCCAAAGCTACCTGTACAACCATGCCCCACAAAAGATACATAGAATAGTTTGAAAAGACCCATCCTTACTGAAGTACTAATTCAAGTATCATTTTTTCAAACAAACTCAAATAACTTTATACAAAGAAAGTTTTATGTCTAAAGTAATTCCATTTGATCTTCCTATTCATTTTTTAAAAAAGAATTAAAGAAAGAGGGACAGAAAGCAAGCTCCAGACAGTACTTTCTGATTTTATCAAAGGAACTGTTATTACCTATGAGGACTGCTCAACAGGGTTAAAAGGCTTAAGTAAGTTTATTGAACAGCTAATCCAAAAGAGAATTTATAATTTTCTCAACTGGCAAAACTCATGTATATCTATATGCTACTAGTCTATTTATTAAACACAAATCACCAAGCATTTCAATCAATTTATATACAAGGCCCTGGGTTCAATTCCCAGTACGTAAACACACAAAACATCCTGTGTTCAAAAACCACGAGATGGCCTTTGATTCCTCAGTATTACAAAATTCTAACAAAAAGCATCTTTGTATAGCAAGGTTTTCTCTGTCAATCAAAAGCATGCTAGCAAAACAAAATTTAGAAAAGATCAAAGTGTTACTTTGACCAGTTTTATATTTCCCCTAAATTCATATAACAAAAACCACAATACTATTATATAAAATACTATTATAAACTTGTCTGCAAGTACCAACGACACAGCAGGGGGTCTGGAGATGTAGCTTAATAGTACTTATGTGCCTAGCATGTGCAAGGCCCCAGACTCAACGTCCAGCACCACAAAAACAAAATAAAAAACTCAACAAAAAACATAGAGTACCTTAATAAATGATGAAGAAATGATGATCATT